TCCTTTGTAATGCAGCTCAATTTAACCTAGTTATCCTCACAGTAAAGCTATTACCTTTGCTTTACTTACCTTCCTCAGGTACTTGCAGCTGCAGCATGCCTGCACCAAGAAATGCAGGATCTACTGCTCGCAGTTTGGAGCTGAAGCATTCTTGCTGCACCTTTTATGAGAGTTTATCTTTTAATTCTCAGGCATTGTCTTGCTATGTTTGCTACTGTCTGCCTTGTAAATAGTCCAGGCTGCAAGGGTGGATTTCTTTTTTGTCTTACAAATACAGTGTTTGAGAGGGCATTTTGGTCATTGATGCCTGTAGCTCTATTTTCTAGGGACAGTGAAGTAAATTCCCATTCTGATCTACATGCATTTCCTTGGGTAAGCAGAGCAGGCTTGCCCTGTGAGTGAGAGGAGATGCAGTTTGGATGCTAATGCATTTTCTGAAAGGCATTTTCCCAATGTAAATATATTTTGCTAACGTAGATGAACTTCAGTTTTATCAGCTTACCGTGCAAATAAATGTGCAAGGATTCAAAATGTCCTTGCCTTTAATTCTGTTTTTGTTAGCTTTTCTGGAAGTTTTCCTTCCAGAATTCCATACACTGAAGCTCTGTACCATCACTTCTCAGACTCCTCACTGCTAACCTGTTGTGGCACCTGAGCCCCTCACCAGGCCTTTCTTCTGCTGCCTGGAAGCTCAATGCTAACAACCAGCACAGTGGTTTCTAAACTGCAGGGGTCTGTAGGTGTAGCAGAAGTGCTAAGTCATTGCTTGAACAGTGTCTGAGCTCCTGGTGGGAAGGCAGGGCCAGCCTAGGGAGCTCAGGTGCAAGCAATGTACCTGAGTGACTGGAAGGGGTGAAGTCAGGATCTACCCCTTCCCCGACCTCATTTAAGGGTTGGCAGGGGAGGCAAGGGTATCTTGATGGAGTTCCCTATACACTTGAGACCTTCTGAAGGTAAGCAGATTCTTTCCTTTGTTTCTGTGGCTGTGGTTGTTGCATTTGAGCAAGTTCCTGCTTGCTGCAGCCTAGGACTTTGCTGCTCTGCTGTTGTTGCTGCGCTTTCCATCGCCTTACAGGGTTCAGTGAATGGCTATTGGCATGGATGGGGAGAAAAGCTGAAGAGTGATCTGTGGTACAAATATTGGGGAGTGGCTCTGTTGGGAATAATAGAATCATTAGTGTTGAAAGGGGCATTTAAAGGCCATCTAGTCCAAAGCATCCCTGCACTGAACAGAGGCACCTGTAGCTCACCCAGGTGCTCAGAGCCCCTTCCAGCCTGACCTTGGGTGTCTTGAAGGATGGGACACTCATCACTTTTTTGGGCAACCTGTCAGTGTCCCACTGCCCTTTTTGGAAAGAAAATGGACATTTTTTTTTATATCCAATCTAAATTTTGCCTCTTTTAATTTGAAACCATTTCCCCTTATCCTATCACAACAAACCCTGTTACAGAGTGTGTCCCCTTCTTTATAACAGTTCCTTTAGATACTGAAAGAGAATTTCGAAAGGGGTAATTGCAGGGAACCCAGGAATGAAAGACTTGGTGCATCCCAGCATCTCCTTAATTTATTTGCACCTATGATCTTGCAGGGAGTGCAAAATTGGGCCTTATGCTTCCCTGTTCCTGTATGTGAAGCATCTTTCAAAGAGAAGTTTGGCTCTATGGCATTGTCTCACCATATGGCAAGTATGTATGATGTTCAAAAGTAATGCCTCCTGTTTGTTTCCGGTGGAACTACAACAGATAACAAAGAGCACAGTAGCACTATTTGATAGAGCACGTCCTCAGCCACAAAACATTACTTGTCAACACAGTCACCAATGCAGTCACTTCACTGCTTGAAGTGTGCAAGCATGGAATTTCATCACCCCGTCACCATCCAGCAGTCTGAAATGATTGTATTGAAATTGATTTTCAGCACAGAAGCCCTTTTCTCCCACTTCTAAGGATTTTCTTACGTATCACCTGAAGGATGTGCTGATAGTAGTTGTGGCAGTTGATTACTTACAAGTGCAAACCTGTAAACAAAACTGTTGTCGTCATGTTAATAACACCAGCTTCCATAAAAAAATGGCAATTTCCTTAGAAAGCAGATTGGCTTTCATGCACTGTGTGATAGGAGGCTAATTATATAAAGAGATCGGGTGCTGAGCTTTAGCAGTAGGATATGTTAATTTTGTGACATAAAGAAGGTTGGGGCCGGTGTTGCAGGAATTCGGAGCAGAGATGGCTGTGGGGATTTGCAGGACCCATATAAGTGCATACAACTTCATCCTTCCAAGTCCCCATTTGTCTCCCATCCCTGTTTGGGTTTTTTGTCTTTCTCTCCAAGCTAACCATTTACTCTAGTGCTGTTATTTCTTATGTAGTCCCAGCAAGATCAACAGGCTGCTCACCTGGATGCTCTTGCATGTGCCTGCTGTCTCATGGCCAGCTTGTTTGCTTTATACATTAGGTGTAGCCCTCAACATGGACACATCCACAACCTGAGGTGTTTGAGTTTCAGAAGGCTATACAGTTTTCATCATTAACTACAGTGTATTGGGTAGGAATTTAAGTAAGACTGTGAATCTATAAGTTTTGGATAGCTGTGTTTCGGTGTCTGACTTTCAAGTTTCTCTTTAAAACCCATTTAATTGTGGCTGTGCTGCTTTAGGTGTACGTTTATGCTTTCAAGAAGAGTTGTTTATTTTTATACTGTTTTCCTTTCTGTGAAGAGCTGAGTGCATTAAGTGGAACATATATTTCTAGTAGAATGTACAGATTAATGCAGCTACAAAGTAAACTTCAGGTCTTGAAGTTTGTAGATCATAGGATTGGATTGGAATTATAATCATAATCATGGATTAGATCATAGGATTGGATCATAGCTTGGATTGGAAAGGACCTTAACGATCATTCAGTTCCAACCTCCTTGACGTGGCAGCATGGCCAACCACTGCATCAGGTCTTCAATGATTCAGCTTTCTATGTGCCACTTCACAACATCTCGTGTTCCCTGTGCTCGTTTGTAAGAAAAAGATGTTTCTTATTGCCCTGAATCAAAGAGATAATGTACTCACTGTGCTAAGTACAGCCCACTTGTATCCTCACACATGTGCATCACGTACAGATCTTGTAGCTGGTGGTAAGATGTGACCCTAGCGTTTTCATGTTAGATTGCTATTACACACAATGAAATAACAAGATCAAATGATGATTACAGTTGTTATGCAGTCTTTTCCAGTGAATTTAATTTTGATTGATCAGTGAGGTCTTGAACGTAAATAATAAAAAAGAAGAAGCCTGTACGTAGGATATTTCTTTCTATTCTGCTGCACTTCATGACAGGTGCCTGTAAGGATGTGCTGGTGGTCACTGCACTGTGTTTGCTTACTAATCTGACACAGTTCATGAAGCCTTATACTTGAGAAACCCTCAGCTGTGCTCTGTGGTGCAAATTTGAACTTTGATACACAGGGGAAAATCTTTAAGAGTGTAAAGCCTTAAGTGTCTCTGCCAGCATTCTGTTGACTACTTACGTGTGTTTTGTAGGTCTGGTGTCAAAAAGGCTCGCTTCTCCTTCAGACACTAGTGATTAATAAAGAAAAATCTGAACTAATTCCCTGTGGTATATTTGCACGAAGCTGCGTGGCTTGGGAAGCAGTGATATTTGTGTGGAATTTGTCTCATTGAATGATTGTATTTTAATAGACCTTCTGCACCAGCACTACAGGAAAGCAGCTATTTATTATGCTGCGCTGTGCATTTGCGTCAGGTAACATTTCACTGACTCTGTGCCAAAAGTATGAGGTCTGTTCCTTTTCTATCAGGCAGTTTTTCAGAAAAGCCTGAAGTTAAACTGTGCTTAACTTGAAGCTGCTTCACCATAGTAATTTGTCTTGTCATTGCTAAGGTTAAATTGTCTACGCTGCTGCTAATGATAATGAAGGAAGGTAGCAGTTGAGTTAATTTGGGACCTGCAGTGGGCTTGGAGAATCCAAGGCATTAATGTGACCTTGTGTGACTCAAGGCAGTTCAACCAGGTCCAGAGCTTCACTCGGCTCAGTTCTGCTTGGAAAAGCATCCTGTATGTGGCAGCAACACTGCTGAGGAAACACATCTCTAATAGGGTAATTTCCCTTTTTGACAGACTTGTAAGGGGTGTTTCAGATACTACTGCTGTGGGGGGGTGGAAAAGGCCTGAAGTGTGTTGGAGCGAATGTCTTGTGTTAGGTCTGAATTATGATACGTTGAGGGGCATAATGATGTCTGAAAGAATGCAGAGAGGGTACCAGCAAAGGGAGCGTGAGGCCTTTGGCTGGTGCCCTGCTGGGCTGTGGGTGGGAAATGGCTGCAGCAGCAGACGTTGTGGCTAGGTTGAGCTCGCTGCAGCCTGAGCAGCATGTTGAGGTGTCTCACAGCTCACAGAGGTGTTACAGAAGGGAGATCCATTTTGCACGGCATCAGGGTGCAGAGCTGCACCTGCTGGGGCTGCAGGTATCTCTGTGGGGAGCGGCACTGCTGATTGCACCTTGCCAGGTCCAGAAGAAGGGCACCAGGCTGTGGGATGCTCTGTGCTCTCCTTGCCCTGTGGGGCAAGGGACAGTGGCTGTGTGTATATGGGGCAGGGATGTGTGTGGCGTAGTGACAGCTGTGCTGCACTGGGATGGGGACAAGCATCCCTGCTGGCTGATGGCTTTAGTTGGATCCTGGAGATGAGAGAGGCCTCGTTTCTGTGCCCTGATGTGGGAGCTTGGGGGCCAGGCCTGCTATTCCTTCCCCTTCAGGCTGAGGGGCTCTCTCTTTCCCCATAGGGCTGTCTCCTTGCCCAGAGCCAACGGAGCTGCTCCTGGGCTCTGGCTGAGACACTGGGTGGGAGCCGCAGCCATCCGCATCTCTAGCAGTCTCATGTGAGCAGTGTGCCTTTAAGACTAGCAGGAGAGCAATAGTATCCCCCTCCCTCCTGTTAATTGTAGCATGTTTTTCAGCCATGCTTTCCAGTCACATTCGCAGCTTGTGAGAGGGAGGGAGCAGCACTGAAGCTCCGTGGCTGAGCGCTGTTTGTGCCGGCAGGACAGTGTGTGTGCTTGCCCACGCCGTGGGTGCCTGCGGCTGATGGACAACAGAGCTGTGTGCTGGGGGCAGGAGCCCTGTGTGTCCCAGTGTCAGTGATACCACCGTGTCCTTTACCTCCTCACCTTGTCTTTGTGGCTGTGGCCTCTGACGTGCTGGCCCCTCTGGGAGCTGTGTGTTCTGCTGGGGCGATGCAGTGGGAGCTGTGCGGTGTCTGCCAGGGGATGCTGTGGGCTTCCATGGGATTGCTTGGCTCCCAAAGTGACTGCAACTAACTCCAGGTTGGGACTGCTTCTTGGAGGATGTTCTGGGCATCTCTGCTTGTTTCCTTCCAGCCTCGCTACGGAGTACTTGGAGTATTTCATTTGCCCCTGCCAGTGGAGGACAGAGTCACAGGCCTCCAGAGGGTTAAGAGCATCTGCCTTTATGCCAAGTGTTCGAGCAGGAAATAATCTGCAGAGATACATGTGCAGCAATTCAACTGCTGTTGCTCTCCCAGGCTGCTGCCGCTGCTGCTCGGTGTGTGTCAGGAGCCGTGCTGCTTGCAGAAGATGCTTTCTTGGTGTGTCCGAAGTGCTGGGCTTGGCAGCAGAGCCCCTGCTCTTATGTCTGGGGTGAATGTCTCCATCCATGAGGAATTATGTTGACCTGCAGGCTCTGCTGGCTCAGTGAGGTAGGTGCTGCTCCCTGTGCAATGCGCCGTGAGCTTTGTCTGCGGGGTATAGTTCTCTCCTTGTCCTGGGCTATGCTGTCAAAATGCATTTCAGTGGGAAACAGCTTCAGTTTGCAGCCTAAAGCTGGACAGAAATACGTGTCTGTGTTTTTCGTGCTTGGAGCAGGAAGGAGGGCATAGGGTATCCTTAGGGATACCTTTTATGCCTGGCAATAAAGTTGTTGCGCTTAATTGGAACAAACTTGCTTTGGTCTGTGAAATGCACCTGGGAGCTCTGCTTCACACTGACGTGACCTTTGGAAGGGACTGGCTGCAGCGCGAGGGGTTATGCTTCGGTTCAGATGCCAGGCACACAGTGTGCTCCACAGGTCCTTGAATTCTGCTCCCGTGGACGTGGGGAAGACAGTGGACATCCACATGCAGACAAAGTGCTGCTGGCAGGGGAGATGGTTTTTTCTGGAGGAGTGAGATTACACTAACAGGGAAAAAGAGGTGCTCTGCACTGAGGGAGAGGGGATGTGAAGGTTCTAAGGGATGATTTTGGTATTTGGAAGCAGAAAAAGAAATGCATTTTAGGAGTTGCCTGAGTCTGTGTGCTTTGCTTTCCCAGTTCTGTGAAGAGGAGCTCTATTCATCTCTGCTAACTGCTTTACTACCTGCAACGTTTAGTTGAAGCTATTTTTTAATGATATTATAATTTTTGCGCCGATAGCTAGGGAGGAAAAACTGCTATTGCCAACAAATTTCAACATCAGGTTTCCTCAGGCTTGCTAAGGACGGAGAAGTCTCTCTCAAGACCAGCAGCAGCCTAGGCTATGCCTTTCTCACCATCAGACCATACGTTTTGGTTTCTCTTGAGACCTCCAGTGGGTGCTTTGCTCTGTAAAGACTGAGCTGAAAGTTCTCATACATTTTCTCCTGGACAAAGCAGAGTGGTGTGCACTGGGTACTGATTTGATACCAGTGGTCATGGCTAACTTGTATGTGTGTGTGTTTGCATGTTGGCTTCTGAGCAAGCCATCACAGATCCTGCCAATGAGACCTGACCATGTGGAATGGGTGGGCACTGCCTGGGTTATGTGCTTGTGTCACATGGTGAGAGGCTTGTGCGCAATTCTGGCATTGCAGGTCTATGGAAATAGCACGGCCAATGGTGCCATTGCTGTGAAACTGTTCCAGAAGTGTTTCTGTGGCATTGTAGAAGAACAGATTTTGTTATAACTGCACTCTTTGCAGGGGGGGAAAGAGCAGAGTTGTCATGTTCACTGTGAACGTTTTAGTCACTCTTGTTGTCTTTAGTCAGGGCTTCTTGACTGCGTTGTGTTGCCACCTGAGCTGACAGCTCAGAGCATTTGTTGTTGCTTCCTGAACTTCCCAAGACTGTTGTGCCATGCTTGAGTCATCTCTGACCCATCTCACAGGGAAGGCTCAGGAAAATCTCCCCTTCTTACCAGCAAACTGGGGCCAAACGCAGGAAAGAATACGCTCATTTTGAAAGAGGATGACACTCGTGGAGCCTCCTTTGGGATCTGATAGGAAAGACCTCTGCTGCTCTGCAGGACCTCTGTGTTGGTGATAGAGCAGCAGGAGTGGCTTTGCTGCTGCTATGACACCAGAAGCTACAACCCCTGCAGGGGAGGGAGGCTGCAGTGATGCTTGGGGAGCAGCTGCTCCTCTCTGTCCTGCAAAGGAGGGTTCCTTGCTTCCCAAGAATGTGGCAGAGCCGGGCGGCAGCGCTCCATAGCAACACACACATCTCCTGCAAAGGGGAGAAAAATCTCCTGGTTTCACTCAGAGGTGGAAATACAAATCTGTGAACACCCAGTGGAGAATCTTAGCCGTGTGGTTGGTGCTGGTATAAAGCCACCTGAATGGCTTCTCTATAAAAACCCTTTTATGAAACATGATGAGTGTTAAATAACCAAATTACCTGTGCAGGAAACACTAGAGAAATTACATGGTAGTCATCCTACTTATTGCTATTTGCAGCCAGGCAGAATGGTGATTAGAGCTGGCTGAATTAAAGCAAAATGTTTCTCACAAACGTGCTTTCAAAATTCAGAACCAATTTGGTGCTTGCTGGAAGCAAGCAGTTTTGGCTGTCCTTCTGCCCCTGTTCCAGCAAGTGCACTTTTCATCAAGTACTTCTGCTAAAGCAACAAACTGTTGGAGCCTGTTCACATAGGGTGAAGGTAGGAGTGGGGGAATATGTACCTCAAAGCTGTACTCTTACCTACTTAGGGAAGGAAAACACTACGTTTGACCTCCTGATTATTTCTAAATTGTGTTTTTGAACAGGAGTTTGCATTAGACTCCTAATTATATGGATGTCGAGAGCTGTTTGCTGAAGTTAATTATGGTGATTTTTTAAAATTGAATTTATTAAATGAGGGGTGATTAACACTGTGTGTCAGGTGTGCTGTACTGTGATACATCCCCTGGTCCATGAGTCACAGAAGTGTGAGGCTTGAAGACCAAGGGCAGGATGCTCAGCATGGCCCATGTGTGAGAGGCCCATTGCCATCCCTCTAATGTACAATGGTGGAGTTGAACGTTCATTTGGGTCCAGCAGTGGCCTGGAATCAGCCAACCTGGGATCCCTGTGAGGTTTGCTTCTGAAGCAAAGGCCTGGCCTCATCCTGTGCTGCACTGCTAAGGCTTGCCAGTCGCATCTGCTCATTGGTCACAGGCAGTGTGTAGCATGGTGACAGATTAGTGCGGTGGGAAGACGATGAATTTTCAGGAACTGCTTGCTGGGGGGTGATTTTCCTGGCTTCTGCGGGGGGATAAATGAAGCTCAGTAATTAGGTGCCTGCAGTCTTCCAGCAGCCATTTCATTTTTACGTTTTGGATGCTGCCTGGAAACCAGCTACAGGTGGTCAAAGCGTGTGGGCCAGCACCTGTTGAGTCAAAGGTAAAAATGCTGTTTTGATAGTGACTGGAGTCTTTAAGAGATTGTGCTGCTGCAGTTGAAGTCTCTGGCTTTGAACCACTTATAAAACGTGTTCACAGTAGGTGGTGGCATCAGCCTCCTTGTAGTGAATGCAGATATTTATATTATGCAAAAGGCTTTCTTGTTTTGCTGCATTCGGATGATGACTGGAGATACCATTCCTCTTAGGTAAAAAAAAAAGAAATTGAGTCCGAATTTAGAGGTGAATTCAAAGAGCAATTTCTATTTAATATATATAGCAGCAAATAGGAACAAAGCTGCTTAAAGATTACTTTAATGATGAATCATTATGTGGCTCTCACCAGTCTGAAAAGCAATAAAAGTCGAAATGGAGTGCTAGGGTTTAATCGCTTAGAAAATTTGTAGGAAGGGACCTGTATTGTGGAGAGGGTTTTTCACCATATCAAAGTAAAAATACTTTTGAGATGCAATACTATCAAGTGACTTTTCATCCATAGATGAGAGGCAGCTGCTACCTATCGTGTATTGTTCAGGAAGGTTATTCTCTTTGGCTGTTAGTTACTGTTGAGAATATCTTTAAACTTCTGACTGATTTCCTTCCTCCCCCCTGCTTGCTCCCCATTTTAGGGCAGATGCTGTCCTATTCCTTCTCCCTTTGAACGTTATCGTTGTTGCTGCTAATCCTAATTAAACGCTGTAAATTTTAAAAATCAGATTAATCCGAGCCATCAGCCCAGTGCAAACGCTGTGATAATTGGAGATCATAAAAACGTTTGAGGGACTGTGATTTTTACTATAGAGCTGTGATGGCACATGGCCAAAGATCTCGCTACCTTTGTTCAGATGCCATGGGTTGTGCTGTGCACGCTTCTATGTAATGCAGCAGGAGTAGAAATGATACGTGGCTCAACTGTCGAGTTGCACTCTCTGTCTATAAGTCAACAAACTCAACAAACATTAGAGAAATGACATGAAATACCCCCTCCTCACCATAAATGTTGGATGAATCCTATGGTTTCTGCACAGAATTGGCAGACTAGAGCTGGGAGGTGGTTGCATATCAAAACTTCAGCTCGTTTGTGAGCTGTGTGGCAAAGTTGATCTTCTTCTCATTCTGTCCCAACTTAATTTCTGAGGCGGTGACATCAGGGAAGATCTCAGGGGTCGTTATGGATGTAATTACCCGGCACTGAAAGACAGTAAGGGATTAAACTGATACTGCAAACATTTATGTTGGAGTTGGTTGTTTAGATTTTTCTTACAGCTGAGGATGAAGGCACTCAGCGGGAGCAATTAACCTTGCTTGTTTTAGAAGTCTGAGGTAAGAGAAGATGGATCACAGCTGGAAATGCCCCATCTGCACCACTTGTACACTTAGTCTGCCAGTCTGGCTTGGGTTACAGTGGTGGCACTGGTTGGGATGAACATCCCAGCAGCAGCATATTAGGGTTAAGCCCTAATCCAGCCAGTGCTCAGAGTCCACCTGGGCTGTTCCAGGTTCCTTGGACAGGTTTGCTGGAATTAAGGACAGCCAGGCAGGATCTGAGCCTTCACGTTTTACACTCCTCTATGGAACTTGAGCTGCTTTGGCTGCTAGGAGCAAGCGTGGCTGTAGAGTATGTGTTGCTATTTCCTGCTTTGTATGCAGGCACCCCCACTGTGACCTTACGACTTGATGGTAAATGCACGGTTTTTGACAAAAGCTACAAGTTGTCATTCCTCCTCTCCATTCCTAAAGAGCAATTCAATCTTCCAGATGCACTCTACGTGTAACGGTGGAACTGAAGCAGGGAAATCTGTGGGTTCAGAGGCTGATGCTGTTGATGCACACTTGTGTTGGTGGCCTTTTTGCAGCTCTCCTGCTGCTGCCTTGCTCCTCAAAGCTCCCCAACCTTGTCCACCTACTCCATTGTATGTAGACAGTTGCTACTGCAGAGGAAACAATGGTAGCATGAGATCTGTCCCATGAAATGTTATATATTGAGGTTTACCCAGTAGGCTTGTAACGGCCAGAATGTGGAATTAAGAAGTGGGTTTCTTTTTTTGCCTGCTAAGCAACATTCATGCAACATTTAACCATGAATGC